ATGCAGACAAGTGGCTTGAGTGTTCTGTGACCTTAACTGTCGAATACACAAAAGGATATCTGTGTATCAGAGTCTTGGGGGTATACTTAATAAGCACTGCTCTTGGAATTCATTTCCTCAGTTGTACAGCAGACAATAATGCAAACGTCACAGGTTACATTAGGAACTCAGACAGCCTGTATAAACTGGTGCCTGTTTAGTGCCCAGTATAAACCCCAAATTAGCTATTACTATGACTACTATAATTATTGTTATATAACAATGATTATTATTATTATAAGTGCCTTATATATAGCAAGTATTCAGTAGACATTAACATTCATATTTTCTCATTTGTGCAGGACATTCTGAAAACAGCATAATCTGTGGCTTTAATGCAAACCTGGCCATTGAACCTGGGCAGGTAATGCACAATGCTCAGGATCCTGGTGTATCCATCTGTTTCTAACTGTTCATTTGTCCTGTCTACTTCTGAGAAGATTCTCCTCTTGGATGTCTGTGTGCTAAGTAAAGGAGTTATAGGGTAGCCATTGGCAGCTACATTACAGGACACCACAGAAGAGCTCTGCTGGCCCATGTAGGGAATTTATGGAGACACAAAGCTATATGGTTTTTACAAGCTACTAAATATACTGCATCTCTCCAAGATCTCTCTTAGAACAAAACTCATTGAGAGGGTAGTTGATATAAAAAAAAATGTTTTTTTGACACAGGGTCTTACTGTGTAGTCCTGACTAGACTGGATTTCACTCTGTAGACCAGATTGGCCTTGAACTCACAGAGACCCACCTCCCTCTGCCTGGGATCAAAGGCTGTGCACTGCATTTAAAAAGATTAAGAAAAATGTCTGCACCACTGCAGTGTTGACAAAATGCAACGATCTGATTGGTTCTTACAAACTGTGGGCGGGTCCTTTTATTCCCATCCCATGGATAAACAAGGCAGTTAGTCAAACTAGGCAGGGTTATCTCTCTTTTAATCCCCCCATTGCTTGGAAGGGCTTTTCTGTGGCATCCTGTAACATGGTTCCTTTAGAATTCTTTACTTACTGCACACACATCCAAGAGAAATTACAAGGCTGTTGAAACATGAACCCCTAGTGAGGGTGTACCTTAAACTGGAACATTTAATATCTTAAATCTGCCTCCAAGTTTCATAAAAGACAAAGGAAAATATATCAGAAGAAAGTATCAGAAATACCATCTGACTAATGAAAAGCTTTCAGCCTTGAATACAAACCTTTGTGAGAAAAATACAATGGACAAGTAAGAAGAAATATATGGATGGAATATTGGCAGAAAAAAATATATCCAAACAAGAAGGAGAATATTGGGACAGCTGTTCAAAAGGCTACAGCTTGTGTCTAAGGCATAGCAAAATTCAAAGCCCACAGTCATAACTGAAAAGTGGGGTTTAAAAAAAATGGAAAAGCTGACAGACATTCCTAAATGGCCCCAGGCTTAGAGAGAGGTTGCCTTTGAGGATGTCGGACAAACCCCACAGAGAGCCCCAGCAGGCACCTTCAGCAGCTGAACTAACCTCACCCCTTGGCCCAGTTAACCATCCAAACTCTGGGGAGCACTCCAGAGAGCAGGCAAAGACTGCACAGTCGGAATAATTTCTCCAGCTGCTGCCTGTGCCTACAATCTTCTCGGCTCAGTACTTGATCGCCGAGAAGAGGTCAGTGACCTTTCTAAGGGCAGTTCCGCAAATGTTTTCAGTCATCCACACCTTTGTGTGGGTGAACTGCAGCTTCTGACTTGAAAGGTTCTGCCAGCAAAGAGGGACAGAGAGGCAGGGCATTGGGCATTGCGACTGAGTAAGGAGAGGACGCACCTGCTCACTGGAAGATGCCAATGCTGAGGGCAAGCAGTGCCTTTTCACGATTGCCCCTGAAGATTAGCCAGAATGCTCTGAATAATAATGTGTTATGTTGAAAAATGTGTATATGGGTTATATGTGTGCATGCAGGCACATAATAAATGCTAGCTACCTGAAAGATGATTACTGATGTTTTTGACCTTTAACCATACACTAAGCATTGTTCTTAAGTTCACTGTACTACTTAACTTCTATTGCTACACTGAGGGTGAGGGTGAATATCCTCATTTTGTAGGTAAGGAAGCAGGTTGAAAAACTCTTTATAGAGCTTATGTGTAGAAACAGGGATTCAAACTATGAAAGTCAATTCTACTTTAACCAGTACATGTGTGTACTAACATGAGCAATGTTCTCTTTGGGTCACACACACATGCTCACACACATATGCGCGCGCGCGCACACACACACACACACACACACACACACACACACATATACACACAGATACACACACAGATACACACACACATATGCACATACAGGCACACACACCATCATTCTAGTTCCATACCAAGGAAGCCAGGACCCCCTATGCCAATTTTCAATTCTTCTAGTTTAACATAATCCTTGTACACAAGATTTGAACCAAGAAATAAAACGTAGCAGTTAATTTTCAGAGGACAAAAGTGAAAAGAAAATAGAACCTTGAAGTGTGGAACATTTGCCAAAGATAGTGATGAGGAAGGAGCCAAGAAGAAGTTTCCCTGTCTCTAAGATACTGATAACAAAACTGCAGCCTCCTAAAGCCCCAAAGAATTGATCTGGGTTCAATAAATTTTTGCAAATTCACAAGGAACTCATTTCTACTTTCTGAGGATGATCACCTAAAACCTCTGGGTGGAAAAATAGATTCAGGTCTGTGACCATCACTTACAAGTCACTCACTGGTTACCCGTTGGTGGTTCACAGCCCTGTGGTTTTCTAGTCTGTATTTTTCAAACTTGATTGAAGTGTTTGATGTGTGTCCTAGGATGCTGGGCATTAAACTACCTGGTGGAACACAGTAGGTACTCCACAAAGGTCTCTCAGGGCCCAGAGGGGAAGATATGGCAAACCTATTTCAAACATCAGCTTTACTCAAAAGGGAGAATATTGAAATATTTTTTTTTTTTAAGAATGAAGTACACGTGATAAAACTAGAACAGAAGGCTAAATCCAAACTCCAAATTTGAAATGTCCCACGTTGGGGCAACACCCCTAGACCCTGAAGTCTCCCTCCCCTTCCGTTTTTATTACTTCCTGAAAGATGGGCGCAATTCACGAAAGCATAGGCACACATATTTGTCCTGCATCATGGACCACTGGGACTCACAATTAGAAAAGACCCAGATCAAGGTGGACTGTTATCTTTATACAACATTAGAAACGGCAATGGTCCATCTTTTTAGTTTCAAGCTCATCAAGAGCTTATCAGCCTAATGGGCCCTTGGGGACCCCAGCAGCTGAAGGGCACTTCTTTCCTCCTTCTCATGATGGACATGCTACGGTCTGCATTGTATTCAACTATTTGATCTCCAAAGACATTTTCCTAGCATTTTTTATTTAACAAACTAGAACAATTATAATAGTAATAGTAACTTTTTGAAAGATTGCCTTGCATTCTACCACTCCAAACCTTCCCCTCACATATAACTACCCTGCAAAATTATCTTGAAAGCCAAAACACATCAGATGAACAAAGGTAAGGCCTCTTCCTGATAGCAGAAAGTGCACCCAGCTAGTGTTCTAGAGTGCAGTGGAGCAGGCCTTCTCTACCTTCTGAATGGATCAATATCCAAGGTGGTGTTGTCAGAGGCAAGCAGAGAAGTAACTTGAAAAACTTTTTAACTTATTGATCCTGAGCCTTACTTTAGAGAACAAATGAGTATCCAGCACTCCTTGTGGATCCTACAGGACATTTATAAATAGAAAATCTTTGTCAGCCTTGACAAATTGGCTAGAGGAGCTGTCCAACTGCTGAAGCAGAAGGGACTACAGACCTTTGACAAGGTCTAGGCATACTCATAGTGTGGGCATCCATGGTCCTTCAATTCATAATTTGCCTTATAAAGCTTCAGAGAAAGTCTCTGTTATTTTTACACTGCACCCTTTGTTAAGGTATGACCTAATCCAAAAAGAAATATCTATAGGATGCTCAGAGACTATAAAACAAAATGCCAGTCAAAGTCGAAGGTAAGATAGCTCGTGTGTAGGCGCTAACTCCAGCAGAAGTTCTGTAAAACTGACTTCAATAGCCGTGAATTTGAACACCAGCTGGGGAGCCTTTGATTCATTTATAATGAATAATGTTCTCATCACATTGATCTGACCTATCTCAGAACTTCGGTCTCCCACCATAAATGGGACAGTATTATTCTCATTTGTCCCAGGTGACTCATATCTAGAGATCTAACCTTCCTTAAAAACGTAATCAGCGTGAGTGCGAACTGATGTTATTTATCCAAATTTCGCCAGTCATGGGGAAATTCCTTCAGTCTACTCCTGCTCAGGGAGGAAAGCCAACTTGTCTTGTCCCACAAGCTCCCATTTGCACGAACTTAGTGGTGTTTAGCACAGCAGAGTGAAAGGTCATGTGGTCAAAGATCAACATATGGTTTGCTTTGTGATGTTTGCTTGATGAAGTGAGTTTCACTCAGTATGGAGGGTGGATCATACTTACCACTTAAGAAATCATACTCAAGTTAACAGAACAACGTGAAATTGAACCTCAATATCTCACTCTCACAGATCAAACAATAATACACATTATGCACAGATATCCATAGGCCATGAAATCTTTTACTCCACACATTTAGTTTCTAGTAACCCAAGAGTTGTCACAAAAACACTTTGCAATTCTTCCACTATATTCTGTTTAGGGGGTGGTGGGATGGCAGCAGACCAGTTCCATGCTGTGTAGAATGGGGCACCCATTTGAGTTGACAAAATCCACCACAGTAATCCTTAAAAGTGAAATTTCCGTATCCTGTAATCAGGAGTTGCCAGGCATTTGATTAAATACCCCAGGCATTGGATCCCCAACCAACTTCTATTTCTGCCCCTGACAGGCAAGCCAGAAAAATTAAACCAAAAAAACCTGAAGAAACAAAATGCGTATTTTAATACAGAAATGCTTTTACCTGCCATCCTGCTGTGAATGAAATGGGCCGAGCTCTCAAAATGTTTGTCAGCTTAACTCGAAGTTGGTGGCAGGGTGAAAACGTAGCCAGGCAGCCTTATTGTTGCTTCTGTCCTTTAACTGCCAGGTGGGATACAATAGAAGCATCAAAGAGAAACAGAGGAGAGGGGAGTCCAGAAAGACCCCAAAGGCTGACTGACGGAGCAGCAAACAAAGGAAAAGTTTCTAAGTCAAAGACATTGTGTGCTGCCATGTTGGCATCTCAGATCGCTTGCACACTAAAGATAAGGATGCCTCGATGAATTGCCGCTTCCCCCAAACTGCTTAGGAAATATTCAACTTGAAAAACTCACGAGAAACACTTAACCTTAGTCTAGAAGGAAAATGGCTGCATCACACTGCTTAGACGTAGATAACAAATATTCAGTATCTTACGAGAGATTCCAATGTAATGGTTTTTGATAGGCATGAAAAAAAAAAATGTTTTCATTTTGATCCATACAACACGCATGCCGAGTGAAGCGAGCAAGAGACTGGTGCACTCTGGACTGTGTACACAGGTATCTGGAACTGTATACATGTCTGCCTCCTGCATCATCTCACCCTTGGTGGTGTAATTTTATTCTCATAAAGATATTCCATTATTGCAACAGTATACACGTAGTTAACACTCATCGCAAAAATCTTTATTTCTCATTTTAAACTCAGAGCCCTTAGAAACTGCTATTGTCTTTGGTCACTTCAAAGAATTTACGCACCAGTCATTAAACTTCAGCAAGGAATAGAAAATAGCATGCCCTTTCCCCCAAAGGGCTCTAATGTATACCATTTTCACTTTATTTATATACCTTCAATGATAGTCTGAGTCACAGCTAAAGAAGATGGAAAAGAGTAAAAACAATTTGATTTATATATAAACATAATCATTAAATAGACTAGTTTTAAACATCTCAAAAGAATCACAGTTCAAACAAAGCATATGAAGCCTGACGGGACAGTGATGAAGTCAAATGCAGTTTCATGGCACTTGATAAAATCTTATCACATCAAATAGGAAATCCAAAGATTTTTCACTTTTAGTTATTTTATGTGTAATTCTGTACTCTTCTAGCCAGTTGTCCTGCACATAACAGTGATGTGGGAACTATCAGGATCAGGACACTGTCTAGTATATCCAAGTTTAAGTAAAGATTGTACATAGCGTTTAGTGTTTTAGCCAATTTAAAAGTTTAGGCTAAGGAAAAGAGAATAAGTCTGTTTTCACTGGCCAATTAAAAAAAAAAAAAAGCAACCCCAGCTGGGTGGTGGTGGTGCACACCTTTAATCCCAGCATTCAGGAGGCAGAGGCAGGCAGATCTCAATGAGTTTGAGGTCAGCCTGGTCTACAGAGCAAGTTTCAGAACAGCCAGGGCAACACAGAGAAACCTTGTCTCAAAAAAACAAAAAATCAAAATCAAAAACCGCCGGGCGGTGGTGGCGCACGCCTTTAATCCCAGCACTCGGGAGGCAGAGCCAGGCGGATCTCTGTGAGTTCGAGGCCAGCCTGGACTACCAACTGAGTTCCAGGAAAGGCGCAAAGCTACACAGAGAAACCCTGTCTCAAAAAACCAAAATAAAATAAAATACATTTAAAAATCAAAAACCAATGAACAAAAATAAATGACAAGATCATCACATTCATTACCATGAACTGGCATGCTTTTTGTCGTTTGATATTTTACAATCAATTTCTGATTGCCCAAATGAGTATAATTCAAATATACTGCTTTCTAGCTAGATTAAAGTAGTAATTTGGCCATTTTCTGCTTTTAAGCCTGAATAATCTTCCTGAATCATCAACTCTGCTCCAATTCATTATAAAAAGTTCCCCGTGCCACTTGCCATGAGGAAGACAACACCACAGAACCCAGGCTCCAGGACAGAACACACTAATCCCACCAGGGACAGATGAGCGTGACATCATGTAGGCCAGCAGTCTAATCACTGCAATTATGCTTTACTTAGAAAACAAGCTGCACATTCTCCATTACAACTTGCAAAGAATGTACACATTGAAAGCAGGTTCCGCTAACACACAACATCCTCTAACTCTTTTAGTCAGTTCACAATAAATCTCTTACCTTGTGGAGAGAGGGAAGAGCTGCAGGCTCATAACAGAATGAGCGATGCGTAAAATGTTCTCCAGTTGACTTCCCACAGGATTTATACTTCCCAAACCAGGAACACCTCTGCCTGCGCAGATGGAATGCTAAGCAATGTAGTAAAACAACTAAGGAATCAGAACTACAGGTAAAAGGTCAAACAATTATGCTCTTAAACAAAATGTACCAAGAATATGTGTGTGTGTGTGTGTGTGTGTGTGTGTGTGTGTGTGTGTACATATATATATATATATATATTCTTATTTTAAAGCAAATCTATGAAAACTGAATGACAGCAACTTCTATGCTTATGCTCTCATTGAATTTCCACACTTATTTGTTTGGCGAAGTTCCTGCATTTTTCTGGAAGTAAAGGGTCATGTCACACTTGTTTCCAATCTAAATTTGGTCTCTGTTCCTTGGGCCCTATTTCCTCAGGCCTGAGAAAGAAAATCAATGGCCCCTACTCACCTTTGGAAGAATTTCACTGCCAAGTCTCCACGGTTCTGTGGGATCCAATAATCCGTGGCTCGGCATCGATTTTTCTGTGACACCTGTAGAAACAGCCTCTCTTTCCTTTCTAACAAAATACAGCCATGGAGACAGTGTAGTTCCTGAACGAATTAAGTGTCTAGGCTATTAAGCACAACTTGATCTTCTAAAGAGACATGGTTTATGTTTTCTGAAGCTGTTAATGTTGCTTGCTTTTTTCGGAACCACTTAACCACCATTTAAAGATAATGTGAGCATCTATTTTGAAGAGACTTTGAAGGAAATATTTTTCATAAGTTTCTCACAGTTAGTTCATATCACCAATAACACTTATTCCCCACTCCCATGAAGAAATAGACAAATGATAAAAAAGAATCAAAGTTCAAGTTTCAATTTTTTTAACATAGCTCCCAAATCAAGTTGGTTTTAATATATGAAAAACTATCATCATGCTTTTAAAATTTACAACTTGGAAACTTGGTGAGATAGAGAGAGAGGGTCTGGGAAAGCCAGGTTTGGAGTATGTCAAATCCTGGGTTTGTGTTAGGGGGCATGTTTTAAGGCTGAAGCCACCACCTTCCCCACTTCCCTTGGTGGGCCTAAGTGCAAGACAAGAAAACCACAGACACTAATGCATGTTTCCAGCATCCTTCACACACCTGATTTAAATCTCAGAGGTATCTCAGTGACCCTGGCAAGACTGAAAAGCATTCCCTGCAGCCATCCTGTGCAGAGTGCAATGGCTGCTGTTCATAAACCTCCTCTTCGCTGACTCCACGAGCCTGCAAATCTGCAAAACAGAAGCATAGTGTTAACAGAGGCATGCCCTCTGCATTTGCTATCTCCAATAAAATGAGTGTGTGTGTGGGGGGGGATGTGGAGCACAAGGCAGGTTGCTTCTCATGAGGTAGGTGACATCTTGGTTAAAAACGATGTGACCAGGCAGCACTCTGACAGGTTTAGTGCTAAGACCTGACAGATACAAGCCTGCAAGAACCTCCCTGCCGCACATAGTTAAGCTCACAAGAAACCTTTAATTTCATAACCCCTTGATTAGCTTTTGCAACACTCAGCCCCTACCCCTTTTGAAGTTCATTATAAATTACGCTACTCATCACATTATTGCCAATTTAGGATCCATTTGACTAGAAATGTCGTCATCTCAACCGTTCATCAAACCTGTGCACACTTTTCTGTTAAAGGATTAGATCAATCCATACTCCAGTTCTCAAGGGAGAAGTTCCATTGTTTATCAGGCCATGTCTACACTGGCTGAGCAAAGCGCTCTGTTCAGAAGGAGAAGCGCCTTTGGCAGCTAGAGTCCACATAGCTGACCCATGGACGATCGCGAGGCTCTCCTTCACCTGATTACCCAAGTGTAACAAGATCACTAAGCATCACATGAGGATGACCCTAGACAACAAAAAGCATGACGTGATTGTTGTTCTAATTTATTTACAGGGCAATCATCTAGAATTCTATTCAAGAAGCTAGAAGCACATGTGTGTGTACATCTGGCACAAAGGATGGTTATTGGTACGGAAGCAATTCATGGCTCTGTAGTGAGCTTGACCGTGCTCCTTCTTTCTAAGCAAGACATCAGTGGCTCCATCTTTTCTAAGTAGTTAGGATTAAGTTCAAAACGCTATCTTTTTATTTACACAGGAAAATCTTCACAAAAGACAATTAAAAAAAGAAAAAAAATGGGACAAAGGTACTTAATATTTGGGGGTCAATATTTACACTCTGATGAATTGTGCTGTATAGAATTAGTACCAAGTCTGGGTGGATTCTATTCTGGTGACGGAGCAACCTAGAATTGTCCTGAGTGCTGAGATTCTTTCAACCAATTTTTAGAATAAAAAGAGGTTTAGCAGAAATGTACTACTAATAGCTATAAAATTATAGGCTTCCCCTTAACCCACTCAAACACACTCCACCCTGTGACATAACAGATATAACCCAAACCATCTTTGGAATTTTGCCAACTTTTCCCATTGGTGAGCTGGCAGAGTTGGCCCAAACTGTCTTAAAACTGCCTTACCCCACAAGAGCCCTCTAAGGACTTCGTGGAATCCAGTCTGATTCTTTGGCAGAAACAGCAGTGAAGACTTGTATGTGTGGGAATCGATCAGACCTGTAAGTTATCAGATATCCCACAGTATCTTCCCAAGACAAACTGTCAAAATGAAATGCTATATCTGGGCTTCCGAATCATTTGACCTTTGCAGATAGGAATATTTCCCTTTCTGACATGTCAAGATTCAGAATTGTGTGTGTGTGTGTGTGTGTGTGTGTGTGTGTAGCATGCACATGCTCACCAGAATATATAGAGGTTAGAGGTTAACGTTAGATGCTTTTCTTGATATCTATTCACCTTAGCTTTTGAGAAAGGGTCTCTCAATGAACCTGGAGCTTACTAATTTGACTGGACTAGCTGGTCAGCAAGCCTCAGAGATGCCCCTATCTCTGCCTCTCCATCACCAGGATTACAGGCCCGTGTTCAGATTACGGGCCCATAGTCCACACACACTAGCTTTTTCTGTGTGCTCTGGGCCTCTGAACTTGGGTATTCATGCTCACGTCGCAAGCACTTTGTTGACTGAATCATCTGCCCAGATCAAGATTCAGACTTTCAAAATAAATTTTCAGCCTCTGATTTCATTGAAAATTATGCCATTTATGTGTTATGTTAAATCCCCTTCAACTAGGTGAAAAATTGTAATTTCACACAGTGACACGCAACCTATTGGTTGACCAGCTCTTCGCTTACCTCTCCAATGAGATAAAGCCAGAGAGTTCTAGCCCAGTGGTTCTCAACCTTCCTAACACTGTGACCCTTTAATATAGTTCCTCATGTTGTGGTGACCCCCCTCGCAACCATAAAGTTATTTTTGTTGATACTTTATAACTGTAATTTTATTACCATTATGAATTATAATGTCAATATCTGATATGCAGGATATCTTCAGCTCCTGTGGAGGGGTCTCGACCCAAAGGTTGAGATCCCCTGTGATAAACTACCTAAAAGTTGTTGTCGTCACTGAAGTGCATCTAACAGGAGTCGCTTTTTAACGTCGTCTCCTATATAAAGTTCCGAAAGCTTTTTGCATAAAATGCATAAATAACCCTCTGTCCCTGCCAGTATGGCCACCACCTCTTCGGAGCAGATCGTGAGGATGATAGGAAAGCCAACACCTGTCCAGGGTACTTGACTCTATAGCAGGAGCTATTCCTGATCTGCATACCTGACCTCCTTCATCCCACCACAGCACAATGACACTCACCATGCAGACCAGACAGAATCACCCAGACAGCACGTCATTGGCCTGGAATCACATAGCTTCCAGTGGGTGGAGCTGGGGTTTTAATGGGTGGCTCGGCTCCTGCAGTGTCTTTGCTTACACCGCACAGGAATGTGCCTGTCTGAGCCATGGGTTCCTGAACTGCAAGCTCTCGATTCTCAGAGACTTACACAAAAAAAGGTAATCCCTTTACACTGGCTCTCTTCTTTCTATCTGAATGAAATCAATTGGCTTGAAACTAAATTTGACTCTGATCTGCCCTGACCACCAGGCTTATCTGTCTATTTCTCATTCATGTAAAAATGACTAACTAGAACCTTTGAGAAGACCATTGACCTAATTGTCTCCTATGGAATCAGGCCCCCTAAGGTTGTATCTTGGCTCTGTCTTTGCAAGCTGGATATGTATTATTGCATCTCTTCATGAATTGACTTCCTTGCCTACAAAGTACAAATACAAATAAATCTACTACAAATTAATCTACGCTAAATGCTTAACCCAGTGTAGGCACATTGGAGAAGACAGTTAATGTGCATGAGCCGCCAGCTGCGATGATGATCAAAAGCTGTGCTTGGGTGAGAAAGCAGCACACATTTCAGAAAATGCAGATGTGGACACAGGAACAACATGGCTTTCAAATCTGTATTGTCACACATAGCCCCATGTAACTTGATTCGGCTTCCTTTTGCAGGAACATAGGCAGATCCTGGAATATGTCAGAATGACCGAAGGATGCCAGAAAAATCTCACAAGCCAGAAGAAGCAGCGTCTGCAAGGGAAGGGAAAGTTTGGGGTGTTGTGACAGGATGGCTGGGTTCATTGTTTTCTGATATCACAAGCCAGAGTCCAGCACAGAGTCACACAGGTCCATTTGGTCTGGATAGCGATGAGACAATTTTAGCAATTCTTCAGTTTGAGCCTGGGGCAACTCTCTGTGTGTCTCTCATGCCTGTTTCTACTTTGCCAGCTTCCCATCCTGGAAGCCTAAGCCAGCGGCTCTCACCCTTTAAGACAGTTCCTCACGGTGTGGTGACCCCCGAGTATTATTTTCGCTGCTACTCATACCTGTAATTTTGCTACTGTTATGAGTTATAATGCAAATTTTTTTTTTTTTTTTTGGAGAGAGGTGGTTAGGGGGGTTGCGACCCACAGGTTGAGAACCACTTCTCCAAGTGCTTAGACTTCTTTGAGGCCATATGGCTGTCTTAGAAAAGGCTGCCTAGGAACCTGAAAAGACGATTCATATTCCAAAGTAAGAGTAATACAAGCTTTAGGAGAAAATGGCAGGTTCGGTGCCCATTTATACGACACTGTACAGTAAGTGAGACACAAAGAAAATGGAATGGATTAAAACTTCTTTCTCTTCAGTTCTAAAATGGACATCACCACTGGGGAGCATGAAAAGCTCAGAGGCCCAGCAGGAGACCCAAAGAGAAGCTATTCTGGGTCACTCCCCCAGGATGCACTGGGTTGTCTATGTGGCCTGTTTGCCATAGGATGAGCCAACCAATTTCTGGCACCCAAGAGGCCGACAGTGAGAGGCCCCAATACTTCGTTTTGTCTGCCTCAGAGACCAGACATTCTCTGATATATCCAAGGAGAGGGGAACCTTGATGTACAAACCAGCATCTTGGTCCAGAATTATGGTTTTGATGAAGGGATGTCTGAACAGCCTCATTTGAGAGGAAGATAGAAAAATAGATGGTGGGGGAAAAAAGCGCATCCATTCCCCTGTTTTGACCCTCCAGGCATCTCTGCACAAACTCCTCCTCACCAATATCCAGGCCTCTCCTCAGACAGAAAGAACCTATCACCTGTATTCTAGGAGACTCTCATTGTGAAATGAGGTCTTGGAAATACTCAGCCTCTGGTTTTCTAGGTGCGGATGGCGTGTTCCCAAGGTAGCCAGGTGCTGATCATGGGCAGTTCTAAAATTAGAACCCTAGGATGTCAAGAGTGGTTGAAGTCTTAGAAAAACATTACATTTCCTGATACCAACTCCACACAAATGTCTTCACCTAGCAAGGGATGACAGCATGATCTACCAGGAACCATCTATAGAACAGAAGTAGTTGGCCTTGGGTGATGAACAACCATGAGGGGGTGCAGAGTGAGGGGTTGAGCCATCCAGTCTGGCCTCATACCTGTCAACATTAGTCCTCTGTACAGACAAAGGATATCATTATTTCAGCTCTGAGATGATATGAGCTGAGGCTCTAGCTTCCTACCTCTGAGCATCTCTTGGCCAGGCACAGCATAGCCTTCATAATCATCTTCAGAAAGCCCTGGTATGTGCAGCTCCAACTGAGGCAACTTTGTGAATCTTCTCCCCTGTGGCCTCTCTCCTCACCCCCACTTCACAAGACCGTGAAATGTGCTTTTCAGATTTTCTTGCCAAAAATGTGCAAACCTTACTTTATTTTGGAATTGTCTTCTTTTTCTTATTACCACATACTTGGAAACCATGGAAAGCCATTTATAAACTTTAACCTGTCATTTGTTTTAAAGATTCTATTTATTTTATAGCATATAGCAGTTTCAGAATAATCTCTAAAAGCACCGAATGTGTGCTTGTCTCTATGAGTTTGGATGTATGTATGTGTGTGTGTGTGTGTGTGTGTGTGTGTGTGTGTATGCATGTCCCAGTATATGTATATGTGTATGTATGTTCCTGTGCATGTGGAAGTACATGTGTGTGCATGCCCCTGTCTATGTGAATTTGTGTGTGTGTGTGTGTGTGTGTGTGTGTGTGTGTGTGTGTGTGTGTGTGTGTGTGTGTATGTGTGCCTGTATGTACATGTGGAAGCCCAAAGACATCTAATGTCATTCCTCAGGTACCATCCACTAGGTCTCTCATTGTCCTTGAATTCATGAAGTAGAGTAATTTGGTTGGCTAGTGAGCCCTGCAGTTCCTCCTCTTTCTGTCTCCTCCACAGGGAGATTATAGTCAAGTGCCATCGTACCCAGCTTCTCTTTTTCTAACATGGGTTCTAAGGATGGAAGAAAGGCAATGACTTTGGAGACTGAACTAAAACCCACCAAAAGAAACATTAAAAAAATAACAGAGCGGGGAAAGAGGCTCTGCTTACCTATGGCCTCCTCCCTGGTTCCTCCACGGACCTGTTGTCATTTCTCATTATTCATTTTTTATGATTCCACACACAAATTCAACCCAGGTGATTTGGCTCTCAACAAAATGAATGTGAATTAATTCGGGTCATACATTTTAATGAGACAACACTTCAGCAGCCCTCAGACGTTCCAGAGGCAAAAGTCGCCACTTTTGGTGCTAACACTGGAATTCCTTTTCTTAAGAAATCTTGCTTGTTTAGACTCTGCTGATTGTCCACTAGGAACCCGTTGACACAGGAGCAAGGTCAGAGGAAAGGAAGGGAAGACTGGGCTGCCAAATGTCCCACATCCTCACTCCTAGGCCACTCACTGCCACACACCCCTCATTCCCTTTAGTTCTTAAGTTTAAAAAAGTCTTACAGTGTGACATCAAGCTTGATCTTGCCATTTTGCTTGACTATTCAAAAATTGCACTCATCCCAGAGCGATGGCATGATTTCTTTCAATATTCTCTCTCTCTCTCTCTCTCTCTCTCTCTCTCTCTCTCTCTCTCTCTCTCTCTCTCCTCCTTCTCTCTCTCATTAAATGGTAGAGTCATACTTAAAGAATGATGATTTCTGGGGTCATTCATTCAATTCTTTAAAGACTGACATCATGTTAAAATTTCATTCTGCTAATCTTCTCCAATTCTATTCCTGCTATACTTGACATGTCAGAAATAATTATAAGTGCTTAATAAATACAGAAGACATTTCTTTTTAGTATTCCTGAGCAGAGAAGCACAGTATTGCTTTGTTAGCAGCTTTCCACTCACTGGCAATTTGCATGTGGAATCAGCAATCCTTCATGAAAAAGCAGAAGTCTGCCCAGTGTTTTGGTTTCTCTAGCTGACTGTGGCTTCCCGGGGACCATTCCTTCCTTACACATAATTAATAGCCCACGCATGACTTCCTCGGAGATGCCCCTCACCTTCTCGTGCCACTGTGCAGATGAGCGTGTTCAAGGCAATGACTTTGCTATGTCACTTGTTAATATCAGGACGGCTTGTTTAAAAACGGGTTCTGATTAAATTGAAAGGCTGATCTAGAAGCCTGTGTTCAAAGTTATCTCTTATTTCACACTCCCCAGGAAGAGTGGGCACTGTCTGTTCTGTTCATCAGACAAAGGCAGAAAAATCTATTTTGTATCCAAGGTAAATGGAGAGCTCCTGTCCCCGTATTGCCTTTCAATGCTTCCTATTCTCCTCATACATGAATGTTTTTTTTTTTTTTAAAGTGATTACAAAAGGACCTGCCAGGTTATGGTCTTGTTTCAGCTCAGAATAAATAAAACTGCCTCTACAATGATGCACTGAGTGAACATCTCCCAAGGTGGGTGCACTGTAAGGGAATGTTGAGGACATCATTGGACCCTGATGATCAAGATTAGAACCAGGTGCCTCAACCTCAAATTTGTTGGTTGAGATGAATTCCTCTAATAGCTCTGGGAAAAAAGAACTACCAGGCTAGCCCTCCTGTGAAGAGACTCAGGGCTGGCTGAAGCTCCCAACATCAATTCTGCAAGACTAGTTTCTGATGTGCCTGCGGTTTGATGGGGAAAGTTTTTGACTTGTGTGGATAGAATTTTGTTTCCCTGTCACTTATTAGTTATTTGGCTCTGAGCAACATATGTTTCCTGGGGCTGACTTTATATGATGCCAGGAATAATACCTCATGGGTCTCATGTGATATCCGATCATGTATGTGACATGGAAGGCATTCACTCATGATAAAGCATCATAATGATGCGCACTGAACATGATTCCACTTCAAGAAGGACTTATGACTAATGAGCATGGGCGTCAGGATGATTGGCACTAACAAGAAGTGTAGGGGGAAGTCCTCCTACGATTTAATGGCAGTCAGTATTAAGTATAGGACTTTCTTTTACAGAACTACTATTGTGAGACACATTTAATCATATGAACAGATCACACATATAGGGGACCGATTCTCAAGTAATGACGAGGCAGTAAAATCTTTGGACTGTATATCAAAAAGACATAAATGAACACCTCTTAGTAATTAGGAGGTATTTCATTGTCTTATAGTACCTAAGGGTCATAATTATGATTATCAGGGGCTAATTTACAAGAGAAATGGATGGGGCCCAAATGACTCTATGATATAAGTGAGAATAAATTTTTTGGAATTAATCCATAATATCCATTTTTAATGTTGTCACATGTCTCCATAAAAAATAGCATGACTTCAATAATTTGCAGTTATCTGACCTCAGTTTTTAATGATTTGAATTATCTCTAAGTAGAAATTAACTGCAGTGTGCAAATTTCCACATATCGCCAAGCAGGATGGCCAAACACCATGCCTTCTGGGAGGTGCTCATGGCTGGTTTTCTCCTGTGTCAATGATCTGAGGTACCAGGTTTAGAAAGAGCAGCAGGAAGTCACTGCAGGGCTGAGACCCACAGAGGAACTAATAGGGTCTGTGCTGGCAGATTGACAGACTGTCAAAGGATGAGATGAATTAGCAGCCGAAGAGGACTTTGTAAGTTATGTGGTCCTAGACACATGTAAGGTGTTATTGTTACTAATGATAACCTTAGTCATTCACAATGGGGAAGTTATATATAGTTGGAAAGGGAAGAGTTCTTTTTCAAATGATGACACGTTTTCCTCCTTCCTCACCCGATTCTTGC